GGAATAACCAGCTGCACCAATATAAGATGGGGGACACTTGGTTTACCAGCAATATATGTTAACAGGATCTAGGAGTCTTAGTAGACCACAATATGAGTCAACAATGTGATGCTGCAGCAAAAGAAGCTAATGCTATTCTAGGCTGCATCAACAGAAGTCTACTCTCTAGATCAAGTACCACTCTACTCTGCCTTGGTCAGACCACACCTGGAATACTGTGTCCAGTTCTGGGCGCCACAATTTAAGGAGGACATTGACAAGCTGGAACGTGTGCAGAGGAGGGCAACCAAGATGATCAAGGGTCTGGAAAACAAGCTTTATGAGGAGCGCTTGAATGAGCTGGGTATGTTTAGCCTGGAAATGAGGAGACTAAGAGGAGATATGACAGCCATCTTTGAATATTTGAAGGGCTGTCACATGGAAGATGGAACAAGCTTGTTTTCTCCCGCTCTGGAGGGCAGGACACAAAACATTGGCTTCAAGTTACATGAAAGGAGATTCTGACGAAACATCAGGAAGAACTTTTCTGACAGCAAGAGCCCTTCAACAATGCAACAGACTCCCTTGGGAGATTTTGCACTCTCCTTCCTTGGAAGTTTGTAACTGGAGGTTGGATGGCCATCTGTCATGGATGCTTTAGTTGAGATTCCTGCATTGCAGTGGGTTGAAGTAGATGACCCTTGGGGTACCTTCCAAATTTACAATTCTAAGATTTTATGAAAGGTCCTTACAACATAATGCAATTTAGTCCCAAATGATTAAGAAATTATAAATAAATGAGTCCCCCCCCCCCCGAGAATAATGCACTCAAATAAACTGGTTTCTACTTTGAAATTAATGCTCAGATTTTTAATTCATTTCAGTGAGTCTACTCCAAGGCAACTGTGTGTGTGTGAGAGAGAGAGAAAGAGGGAGGGAGGGAGGGAGGGAGAGTGATATGTAAATTTACATAGCAGGAGGGCAAGCGAGGGCTGTGAGCAAATGTTAAAAGGATGGGACAGTGGCATATTCCTGCACTGCAGAGGGTTGGACTAGATGATACTCAACAGGGTCCCTTCCAATTCTACAATACTATAATTCTAGGGGAAAGGAGCCAAAAGGGCAAAATCACTTCCCAAAGGTGTCTTTCCACGTGAGAAAGGATTTAAAGTGAGGCAGGAAACAGTTAAGTGGGGATATGTGGAAAGGTGGGAGGGGGCACAGAGTGAGAGGGGGAGAGGGGGAAAAGGAGGAGAGAGTCGCCCTGTTAATTTGTTTGCAACTTCAAAAACACAGGCCATTACTCAGGAAAAGAAACCCATGAATACCTGAGTGTAGGTGCTTAAAAGACACAGAGTGGCAGCGAAGGGGGAAGTGGCTCCACCAGCTCCCAAGCGCTGGTGGGATGGCTCACTTTCCCTTCTTGTCTGCCTCTGCCTCCTGGCGGTGGCTTTAAGGGCAATGGCTGAGCCTGAGTGGGTTCAGGGGGCAGCGGCACAGGCACACACTCCCCCACTGGTGGAGAGGGAGGGGGGAAAGCCCTGGGGCACTGCCAGTGCAATTCTGGCATACTTCCTTTGACCTTAGGGGCAGAACATAGCTATGTTGACTCCTTATCCATACCGCGTTTCATTGCGTTTGTTGGCTGAACACCCCCCTCAGTGATGACACCCAGGGCGGTCCGCACCCACCACCCACCCCTTCCCACACCACTGCACACAGAGGTACAAACAGATCTAGCTGTATAGGGAACTACAGGCACACAGTTAGGTGCTGCGCATGCAGTCACACTCTCTGCAACAGCCCCTAGGCTCCTTTTTTTAATCTTGAAAACTGTCTCTTCTGGAGGAGATTCACCCTCCTGCTCTTCCTCCTCCTCCTCCTCCTCCTCCTCCTGACAAGTGGGATTTTAGCTTTCCTGAAAAGGCCTTTGTGCATAAATGGCCCACTGAATTGGGGCAAGAATATATTGCAGCACCTTGATTGCCAGAGGATAACATTGACATGACACTTAGTTTTTTTCCGAATTGCATAATCTTTAATCAGAATATAATCAGTACAACTTATGATTTTACTCATACTAGATAAATATGTATTCAGTGCATTCTACATCATGAGTCTCATTGTAGAAAGTACTTCTGTATACTGCTGCTTAAGACGAATAACTTCCAGCCATGGTTACTTTTTGGAAATGAATGAATTAATGGTGCAATCCTACACCTGTCAATTCAGAAGTAAGTCTGAATGGGGGTTCCATGGGGCTTACTTCCAGGTAAATGTATACAGATAGCATTAGTGCCTACATTTGTTAATTTCCCTCTTCATCCACTACATGTGATTCTGAGCCATTTTTTTCTGAAGAATTATCACACGGTCACAATGGAAAGGATTGTCAAAGCCTGCTGTGGTTTATAGTTGCCTGCTGCTTCTTCTTCTTCTGTAGAAAATACAGGCTGTGATACCTGCACCGATGAGGATGAAGATAACTGGGAGAACGACTTTCAAATATTTGCCGTGTGTAGATGCAGAGACATCTTCTTGCACTGCCAATGAGAGAAAAGGTGTAGATATATACATACAAAACCAAGGCATTAAATGCTTTACACTATGATAAGAAGGATGGTGGTGTTTACTGCACCTAAGCACAGCGTGTTGTGAACTTGCAAACCATGAACATTGCCCCTTGTTTGTAGGGAGGAAATGGGATGCAGAAGATATATGGAATCACAACCTGAGCATGTATAGGAGCAGCTTTTATTCTACTCAAAGTAGAAACAGATTGACCCTCTTAAAAGAAAGGGCTATGAAGGAATATAACCCCAAAGCTGTGGGACACTGCTGAACAATTTCCATGTGTCCAAGCAATAGTGTCTCTTCCCCAGTAGTTTCTGCACTGTGGCTAAAAATGACAGCATTATTCTGTGCATGTGCCCGTGAAAGGGAACCTAACCTCAGGTGTTCCCCCTCCCCACTTTTCACACGCAATACTATGGAATTTTCCAATAAATCAAAATCTCTCTCTCCCACTTCCCAACTCTTTCACTTCAGAGGAAAATTTCTTTACCAGAAAGCAGAGCTGTCATTATTCCTCCCCACCCCCAGTAGCTTGCACAACCTCCTGAGAGGAGGTTCAGCCGCTGATTACAGCCTGCCATTTTGCGACCAAATACATGAATACAACCAGGGGAAGCAAGTGACAGCCCGCCAAGCCAAATGGCCACCAGTTATTTGATGGTGTCAGAGCTGCTTCCAGATCCTAGCTCACAGAGGATCACGCTAGCCAGCGATCATTAAACAAAAGTCTTTATTGAGTTACAGTTTCCATTCTCAAACTGCTGCGTGCAACTCTACGTCTCATGGTTAGACCGGCGAAGCTCCGTCTGAGTCTCCGCCCCTTGTACACCAACTTAATATCCTAGCCCTGCTCCGCCTTTTCCGCCTGACTGTTCTTCTCTGGGTCCCTCTGCCCCTGGGGTCTCTTCTTTCGGGATTCCTCTGACGCTGACCCCCCTGACTCTTCTCCCTCCTTTCGGCGGGCTTTAGGACCTGGCTCCCTTTCCGGGCTGCCTACTGTGCCACCTTCCTGTGCATTTGAACTTGGCGCGCGCGCCCAACCTTCCACCTTCCGTCTGACCGTTTCTTCGCTCCCCGATGGAGGTGTGGCCACTCCTGACTCGTGCCCTCCCCCCTGTTGTGAGCTGCCAGCGCTTGATCCCTGGCTCCCTTCCTCTTCCCTGCTCTCTGGCGGTGACGCTGGTCCCGATTTCCAACTGCTCCCCTCTGAGTCCCCTCTGGCTCTATCTTCCTGGGGCGTCCCCTAGGCTCCCCCTTGCCCTGGCCACTGGTGCTCCTTTCTGTGAATCTTCTGATTCACTGGAAAGACTCGGAGATCTCGGGTCGTCGTCATCACTCATCTTTTCTTCTGCCTCCTCCCCCTCGCTCTCTGTTTCCTCCCTTGCCCTTGCCTCTGCTCCTGAACCCCTGACAGATGGTATTGGACAACACAGTCTTGTTGTGCTCAGGAGGGAGGAGTTGTTCACCATGCAGGGTGATGCCTTGATTAGAGAATTTGTTGTGGGCTGGATTAGCCTATGGATGGGGTCATCCATGCTGCACCAACCCTTCTAGTGTAGAGCAGTAGTTCATTCATCGTGGAATTTGATATTTGATGAGCGCTTTCAGTGCTGTTTTTGTTCTATGGGCTTGGACTTTCTAGTCATTGCTTTCTGTTCTAAAGCGATTTCTTCCTGCCATGTTACTTGCTGAAATTCAGGTGCATGACAAAGGTTTTTTTATTTCAGCTGGCATTTCAAGGTAGGGTGCTGTTGTTTATAATAATGGAATTTAACTGTCTCTCTCTCCCCCCCCCCCCCGGTATGTTTTGTTTAGAATAGAAATTTTATGTACACCACTTAATATACAGAATTTCTAAGCGGCATATAAATGTATGAAATTTATATTTTTAAAAAAATACTGACATTAGTAATACCAGTGAGGGGATAGTGGCAGCCATCCAAGCAGAATGAGCATGTGTCATTAATAGTCTTACCTGTACTGTTTGTAGGTGCTTTAGTTGTTTTGTCATTAACTGCAAAATAAAAGACATGCTTAAGGTGTAATCATATACATTGTGCAAACCGCAGAACTTCCTACTCAGCCTAGTAGGAAGATAGTTATGCAAGGGAATGTTGCTGCTGTTTAGCTCAAGAGTTCTGATCAGCAGGAAAGTGAACCAGTGGGAGTTTTGAGTGGAAGGAAACCTAAGCAACCTCTCTGCCAGCAGGTCTGGCCCCCACCCCCACTCCCCAGCACAAGAATCCAGGTTTGGGCATTTGATTCACCAAAAGATGATTTGGCCCACTGGTCCTTCAAATGTTGTCAAACACTTAAAGGACCCCTGACAGTTAAGTCCAGTCGCAAACAACTCTGGGGTTGTGGCGCTCATCTCGCTTTACTGGCCGTATTAGTGCAACTTTATTTGAACAACAGCAAAAAAGCTGATTTTCAAATATTTGATTGCAATATCCACTTGGATATTAGGCAAGGTCTATCAAAATTGTAGGGAAAACTTTATATTTTTCAGGCTTTGGGCCTTGACATATCACAACATGAAAATAACTTAGCAATGTATGCTAGACAGGGCTCTTCCTAACTTTGAAGTTTCAATCCAATACATTACTATTTAAAAATGAGAACCATTTGAAATGTTTATTGCATTCATGGCTTAAACAAGCCATCTTTGTGTTTCTCTACAAACGATTTAGAAACTCTCATCACTTTGGAACCTAAGTCTTACTGCCTGTCTTTTCTTACTGCTGTATGGAAAAGCACATGAATCTGGCCTTTGAAGTGTTTGTTAGTAAACCATTTTTAACCAGCCAAATGTGTGGTTTCTTTCTATGCTAAGGGAAGTGGGGAACTTTGGAAGCAACCTAAAAGAAGATATTTTAAAGGTATAACAACCTAAATTTCAATGCATCTTTTGTGATTTTAAATCTCTGCTCTGGTGAGAGACACCAAAGCGTACTTACCTCAAACCTGGATCTTAAGCATCCAGGGAACTCTCTTTCTCTTAGGCCTAGTGTTTTTTCCTTTAACCAAAATACAAAATACCAGCAGTTTGTGCTAGAAAAGGAATGACTGACAGTTTGGAAAGAATGCTAAGAACTTGCTAGTAAGCATAGCAGGGGTGGAAGGTTGTTAAACTGCTGAGGTAGGGAAAAGTCTGTTTTGTAGAATCACAGAAACATCTTCCTTCAAGAGCTTTGTGAAGAAGGAAGCAGATAAAGAGATAAGGCTAAACTTCTAGTACTGTACAATGAATCAAGCAAGAGAGCAGTTGGCCAAGATCGCCTTAAGACACTAACTGCAGTTCTATATAACTCCATATTCCCCTATTGTATTATATCAGAATTATGGCTAAAATTTAGTTTAATAATAATTTATGACTTACTTTTGGGCGTTTTACATATAAATGACATACGATCGCGGCAGTCCGTAACCAACCATTTCCCATCATTGCTGTTCATGGCAATGCATTTCTGACCCCGAAAAGCTTGAGGATTGAATGCAGGTTCTTCGCCTCTCCAATTGACAAAACCCACTTGAGTTTTATCTTTCCACATCCATTCTCCTAATTATAAAAATATATAAATAGCATTATGACAGAAAGGAGAAGAGTAGCACCATGACTGTAAAACATACTATATGGAAACGTGTTTTAAAATTACAGCGATCCTTTTTCCTCTTCACCTTTTCAGTTTGGAGAATATGCAAGCTACTGCCATTATCGTATCAGAACACTGAATACACTAACGATAAGGGGAGAGTGCCTCTGATTTCTGACAGCACTCCCCCCCCCCCCATATTTAGTACTATTTTGGATGGTTCTCTGCAGTGTTCTTTTCGGTTTAAAAAAAGGAGGGTCTGGTGCCATAGGTGCCAGCAGAAAATGGCTGCCAATGATAGCAAAAAAATGAAATAAGTGACAACACTCCATACCGTCAGGATCATCACAAGAAAGTACTGGTTGTCTGGCTCACATGTGCAGACAACATAGAGGTGCCATGGTAAGTGGGAACATTGACACTGCTCCAGATCAAAGCCATTTTTGAATTATTGTTTACTAGTAGAACGTGACCAGTGTTGCCAAGCAATTCAAAGAAACCTATAAATCACGGATTTTAAATAGACAGGGCAATTTGTTTTGTTATTAGGGCAGTGCAAATGTAAACACAGTGATCCAACGTTCCCACCTGACCTGGATGATATCACACAGACAGTGATCCAACTTTCCCATCTGGCCTGGATATATTGGGGGATTGGGCTAATGTTAAATTAGGGTTTTTGAAAAGCCTCTCCTCCTTACAGAGGAGAGGAGTTGTGAGTGGGAGCCGTTTCCCACGTTGGCAGGGGGCGTTCCGGCCCCTGCCCAGCTGTCCCGGCTGCTGCGCCCCCAGGGAGCCAACCAATCAGGTGGAGGCTGGGGGGCGGGGTTTAGCCGCTCAAATGCGGCCACGGCAGTGCTTCCCTTTCATTGCGCTGCTGGTTTTTGAAAACCTTTATGGTCAGGAGGTGGGCAGGGAAAAGAGGTGCTACATCACATTTCCTCCTCCCAGTTATTTCATGTTACATTAAAAAGTTGGAAAAAATGTGAGTATTGAAGACAGCAGGCAAGCAAATGCCAGTGTTTTTCCATAGAGCTCGAGATGGAGGCCAGCTGCAACGGTGTGGTGATCTAATTCTTTACAGTTTATCACATGCAGTCATGAGACTGGGGTGGGGTTACAGGAAGTTTGCATATGTTAATTGAGTAGCATCCTCCATTTTAACACCACATAGTCCTTTGTTCTCAACTGCTGAGAAGAACCAATGTGAAATGGGGGTGGAAAGGGAGCTATGATTTTTAGGCTCAAATCCATTTCAATCGGGGTTTAGGTTTGGTTTTGGCACAGAAACTGCTTTGGTCTCCCTGTATGATGACTTTTGTCAAGAGAGAGAGGGGGGAAACATGCCCTTGTTAATTCTCCTTGGCCTCTGAGCAGCTTTCGATATCATGGCCATTCAATCCTTCTGGAGTGGCTGTACAAATTAGGGGTGGATGGCACTGTGTTGAGGTGGTACTGGTTCTACTTGGATGGCCACTCCCAGAGGGTGATGCTTGGCGAGTGTTTTTTAGCCCCATGGAGATAGTGACATTTCGGACCACCATTTTGATTCAAAATAGTGTCTGGCATTCCAACATCAATGAAAACTGTCACCCCGAACCTCAGGAATCCTCATGCCAAGTTTGGCAATGATATCTTGAGAGATGCCTGAACCTACGGAGGACAAAAGGACAAGCCACTTCCCAAAATATGTAGTAATTATAAATTTTATTTTCCCAATATGCCTAGTGGGACATCTGGGATGGAACTGCAAGTAATGGCAGAGCCATAAATCAAGTTGAAAGAGATGTGGTTAGGGGCAGGGCTTGATTATTTGAAAGCATAGTCAGGGGTCAGCAAACTTTTTCCGCAAGGCACCGGTCCACTGTCCCTCAGACCTTGTGGGGGGCCGGACTATGTTTTGAAAAAAACCAACCCCCTCCCACAACTCTCCCCTCCCTTCTTCACAGCACCGGATGAGCCCCAGTGGTTGCTTACCTGTGCCCTGCGAGCGGCAGGGGCTGGTGGTGATGAGCGGCACGAAAGGGCTGACTCCAGAGAGGGGCTGCTTAAAATGACGCTCAGCTGGCTCAGCCCAGCCCCCTTCCTCCTCTAGGCAGGGCAGGGAGAAGCCAGGAGGAGGGAGCGAGGAGGCGCTGCCACGGTATGTGTGAGGAGGGTGGGGAATGGGGCAGCCTGAACAATCAGAATCCCCACGCCAATTCACGCGGCAATTCCCGGACCGTCTGTGGGCCAGATCCAGAAGGCAATTGGGCTAGCCCGGCCCCTGGGCCTTAGTTTGCCGACCCATGGCATAGATGTTTCCTATACTACTGTTTACCATCTAGTTGATGAATTCTTAGATAATGGGTGAGCGTTTTCCTTTTTCCTGAATGCTTGCCAAGAAGATGCAAGCACCATTCGCTTACAACCAACAGCTTTTGCTGCTGAGCTCTTTTACGTCCAAACTCCCCCCTCCAAATGAAATGTGTGTCATATTTGAGGACACTTTTGAATAAATACAGATAATACATTTATTATGTATATAAATATTGAGGGTTAAACAATTACCATCTATATTTTTGAACAATCCAATCCAAAAATTTTCCTTGTTGAATTGCCGAGTGTACTCCAACAAAAAATCCAGTTCAGCTAAATCTGCTATTGAAGCCAAGGTGCCACCTAGGAAATATACCACAGGAGTAAAGTAAACTCATTAAAAAATTATCTTCTCCTTGAAAAAGAGTGCCTAACAAGATAAGACCAAGGAATCACTATCCAGCACTGGCAGCAATATGAAGTTCTGAATACTTTAGAGAAAATATATATATCTTTCTTTCAAATGCTTGTGACTGCTATTCTATTGCATAATTTCTATTGGAGAAGGATCATTGTAACCTACCCATTTGTAGAAAATAATAATTAACAGTTAAAGAAAATCACTTAATCAAACATTCAATAGAAATGTCATTTTTACAAATCAGATGGTTCACAAAAATCCTGAGCTCCAGTACTGAAAACGTTTTTTTTTAATGATATTTATTGAAAAAAGATTTTTTTAAAAAATTACAAAGAAAAAAGACAAAACAGAAAAAGAAAAAGAAAAAATAAAACCATCATTTTCAAATTCCCCACTTTCATTACCTTCTTTCTATGACCTCCTCCTCCTCCCTTTTCTTGTATCTTGATTAATAGTTGTCACAGCAAATCCTTTCCATAATTCATAATATTCTGTCATTACATTACCTTACTCTATTTTCATCTTATCTTATAAAAAACCTTAAAGCTTAGGACTTAAATCTTATTTTTACCAACTTCTCATAACCATTACCTTTTTACCTAATTCTTTAAACATTTTTACAAGAGCCAAGTAATTTCATTTCAACATTTTCCTAACATTCATCAATTTTATAAAACATTCCTAATGATAGAAAAAGAAATAAGAACAATCCAATCTTCTTCCAGCGTCCCTTCCTCCTGGTCCCGGGTTTGTCAGTCCTTTTTATCCCATTAGTCTGGCACATTAACCTGGTGATCTTATATCCGAGGCCTTCAAGTCTCTTCCATGTCCCTTCTGCAGCTCTTCTTCATATTTTCCTTTCACTCGTGGGAACTCCAGCTTGGTAGTGTTTTTGACCCTTTTCAACAAATCAGCCCCTTTCCCATAGTCCAGACTAGACTCCATGTGGTATTTTAAGACATGTTTCAAATTCCCTCCAAAATTGGGAGCCCCCACAGCTCCAAACATCTGACGGCCCATTGCCAGACTCGGAAAGTCCAAACATCTCTGCATAGGGGGGTGAGTCCAACCCCCCATTTCCAAATCAATCCAAACTTTATCTTTCCAAATCTGGTTTTTTTCCAAGTTCATTTGTCAAATCCAAAGGCTCATTTTCCTGCAGGGCCAAAAGTTCCTCCCTTTCTGGCGCCCAAGATTCAGCAACATCCTCTTCTCTCAACTGTTGTGTCATGGCACACTCCTGTTTAAGTTCCTGGGTGGGCTCCATATAGTTTCCCACTACCTGTTCAAATGTTCTGGCCACATTAGTCATCAAATCCGTCTTCTGGCTTAACTGATCCAATAGGGCATTTATTTTACAGAAAGCACCCAACAGTGCTTCTGAAAACATTGTCCTGCAAGGTCACAAGTCCTTTCCCACGGTTGTAATCCGTGGCAGCAGCAAGCTCCCTAGAATTAGTTACAGTTTCACAGTCCCCCTCTAGGGGGAAAACTTCTGGTTGTTCTTTCTTTTAAAGACCATAGCAACAAAGTTTCTTTTTTTAAGATATTTTGTCAATATTTGTTCCTTTAAAATGCGAAAGGAAACAGTGGAATCACAACGTTACTCTTCTTTTAACTGTCTGTCAAAAACATTTGTCTCTGGTCAATGAGCTTCAAACGTCAATTCTGACACCCCGCTCCAGGATCAGGACGGTGGAAAGTTACTTTACTTTAAACTCACTTCTGCAGGTTTAAACAGTCAAAAAAAGATCCCCCTTCTTCTCCTGCTACCGAAGGGGGGTTCAACGATTTTAAATGGTGAAAACCAATCCTTTGAAAGTGATTTTCTAAGCTCTGGTTTACGTTGTCTTTGCTTTCTTCTGACTACAAGGAAACGGAAGGCTGACTTCCTGTTTAGACCTTCCCGTTTCAGTACCAAATTAAGGTAAATTTTAAAGTCCAATTCCTTTCTAATCGCCAGTTCTTATTTGAAGTCCAATTGTTCAATGTTTAAGTACTCACGGGTGATTATTTTAGATGCCAAATTGTCCCAGGAAAAACATTTTTCACTCTGTATTTCTAATTACACATAAAAGGGGAAAAAAATCCCTCAGTTCTCTGGAAGAGAAAGATGATACCCTTTCAAAGTATTTATATTAATGGGGTGCCTGTGTGACTTTGATGTCATGTTTGCTGAGTAGGAGGAGCTCGGATTAACCCATTCTTATATCAAATAGAATTTGTTGTGATTTGGTCAATCAGTTTGAAACAGGATACAAGTTTTCTTCAGAGAAATATAGCAGCAGCAGCAGAAATAGTAGTATATTCAGCAATATGAACTGGTGGAGATGGATGGCTGGCTGGCTGGCTGGATGCAACTGGCAGATGATTGGCTGAGGTTCCATTTAGAACTGACACAGCCGAATTTAAAACATCTGTACAGGTAGCCCTTTCATTTCTAGACGCATTTCAAGGTGATCCCATTTGTGTTAAAAACCCTAAATAGTTCAGGCCTCAGGTATCGGAAACTGATCTCTTCAGTATAAATACTCTCAGATTGCCCTCTTGGTAATTCCACTGGCCTTGGAAGTGCAAGGAATGGCAGCCCAACAGAGAAGAGGCCTATGGCCCTATGTTGTGGAATTCTCGTTCCACAGAGATATGTCCTCTTGCACCTTCATGTTATCACTTCTGCCATATGATGGTGCCCCTCTTTCCCCTGACTTTTCACACCTGATATATGTAAATTTTGTGGGGATGTTCAGGGAGGCAGGAGAGGATATACTGCTAAATAATATCCTTCCTAACTTGCGTTAGCAAGTCCCTTTACTTAGCAGAGTGCATTCCCCTTTTTAAACACACAGCGGTTAGCTTTGTTGCAAGCTTGTTTAAGCTTATTAATATAGATTCCTGGTAATCCCCTTTTGTCCCTCTTAAAAAGAATAGACATGACAATCTTATTTTAAGTCAGTAAAAAGAAGTTTACTCACAGTATCATTCAGTTCACAATTGGATCCCTGAAGGCAGACTTAGGTTACAAAATATGTGAAGGCACAGATGATGAAGAATCCTTCCCAGGTAGGGCTAACTCTGCTTGCTTGAGCTCTCCTCTGCTTTCCTTTTGCCCCTGGCCCATCTTCCCTTCATTGTGTGCTGCCAGTGGCAAAAAGTCAGAGTAGCAGGAAAGCACTATTTAAATTCTCCCATGGGGCTTCTGTGGCCCCGGGGAAGGAACATTATCTCTGGGCCCAGAGGCATTATGGAGGAATCAAAAGGTGAGCCATGGCAAAGCCTTTCCTCCTTCCAGGGTGGAGTCTAATGTTCCATGGTCCAATGCCTAAGCCAATACCTTCTCACATGCTGTAATCAATAAAGTTGTGGCCTTTACCTTACCCATTAACCTTACATTCTGTGTCCACGTGTCTTTATTCCCCAAGCGGGGATCGGGTCCTCGAATCACAACAGGGTTTTTTGGCTGCACCAACAACGCTTTGGGATTGGGCAAGGAGAGGAAGACTGGCTGGTGTTCAGGGAACTCAGGCCATCAGCAAATGGTTGTTGGTGCTGATCCCTGATACCAGGTCTGTAACACATTATTCTCAATATTATTTTGATAATAAAACTTTTTATTATTGGATTGTGCCAGAAAGAAAGAATTTCCTGCATGCCACGGGCTGTACCATTTTCCTTCCTACCATTCTCATTTGTAAAACAATTCATTTTTCAAAATGACACTCACCAAAATAAGAACATCTGAAGGCCGCTTGCCACCAAGCTTCCCAAGCAGGGTAGAATTTATAGCAATGAGCCTGAAAAGGAACCCAAGTTCTCCCGTCATTTTCTGGTGGAGGAGGGCATTTTCCTGGGAGCTGTGGTGCCTCCGTTGGGAATGCACCTGTTATAAAGCAAGTAGTTTTCTTTTTTTAAATAAAGGCATCTTAGAAACCAAAAATACAAGGAGAGTGCTTAAGGTTTAGACAGATCCTGAGTCATGAGGCAAAGCATGATACCCCTTTGGCTTATAAAAGGGGATATGGGATCTGTACAAGTTTGCACACTGTGCCACGGTGGACCCCACTGTGCCACGGCAAGCCAAACATTTAAAGAAACTGCTGCAGACAGGTGCCTGCTGAAAGCAAAATTACCTTTAGCATACCAGATGATGGGAGAAGGGAGAGCAAACACCAGAGAGATGTGGGGACAAGGAGGGGGAGCTCTGTTGTGATTGACAGGTCAAGCTTTTAATCAGAGGGAATGATTTTACATAGAAAGCCAACCCCAAAATCTAAATACTTATTTTTATTTCTTTAATCAAAAACATATGATTCCATAAAATATAGGAACTAAAGAAACAAAGAAGAAAATACAATGGAAGAGAATTTAAAATTAAATTCACACACACACACACACACACACACAAATTTAGGTTGTTGAAGCCACAATCAATCAATCAATCAATCAAATGCATTGGAAGGTAGTAACGTGTTTATGCTATTCTCACTTGAAGCTGAAGGATTCCTAAGAATTCCAAGTACTGATGTAGTTCACTGGAGGCCTTTCAACAATAAGTAATCAATTTTATATATATATATATATATATATATATATATATATATATATATAGCCATATAGTTGGAAATTAATCTCCCCCCCCCCCCAGTTTGTCTTGCACTATGAAAGAATATGGAGCAAGCTGCCTGTGAAAACAATTTCAGGAAGGGTGGAAGAATCCTTTCTTAAAATAATTTTGAGGTGTCATTACACCACCAGTGATCTTATCACATATAAACTCACAATCTCTTCCCAAAGTGCTGGAGCTGCAAAAAGAACAACATAAAGGCACACATTTCCACCTATGGTGGGAGTGGTAGATTTATGTGAGATGGTGTTCCTATAAAGGGAACTGAACAATATCTATATAGCAACACACTGGGCGAAAGTGATTTCTGTGTTCAGAATTGTATACTCCAAAATCAGAATAAACTGTTTTATCAAGATGCTATCAGATCAGTGTCTAGAGTACAGTTCTCAGCTCTGTGCTGAAATGGAGACCTTATTGGAATTAGAGTGCTATGCCCCACATTAAAAGAGAGATATTTCTTTGCTTACCATGATGCTGCTCACAGATAAATAAGTATGTTTCATTGCAAGTTCCCGTTTTCCAATGACCCTCAAGGTCCATGAAGACACAGGCTATTTTGTGCTTTGGCTCTTCAGGTGCCCAGTTAGTATACATCAGTCTCCGGTTGTTTATCCATGTGTAGCTCTCACCATTCTAATGCACATTGGAACAACACATGCTGGTTGTAGTTTATTTCCCATAACATCAGCTCCACATCATCTCCACATCATCTCCACACACCCCTTTCATTTTATTTACAGAAACACAATCAGGTGATGAATTCTGGGTACTGCTATAGCTATAACAACTGAAGTCATCCCTGTGCTGTTTAATATCTATTGAAAAAACCCTTGGGAGATGTCATCTGGAGATCTGAAGCATGGTGTCATTGGTATGCTGATGACACATAACTCTATCCGTTCCATCTGCAATTTATTGGGTTTTACAATAAAAATAAACATAATAAACAATGTAACATTTGTCTTAACATAGTTTCACATTTTCTTTGGACTTCCTCACATCTCCCGCTCCCACTTTCATCGTTATAACATTTTGTCAGCAATTTATCATCTTATTTGAATTCTTATATCCCTTCAATATTTCATAGTCTTATAATTCTCAAAAAGAGTTAAACTTTCACAGTCTTACTTGTTTTCTTAAAAACTTCTAAGTTAAGTGGTGCTCAGTTATTTTAATCTAGCATCTTATTTAGCATTCACTCAAATCACAATATTTTTGTAGATAGTTCTTAAATTTCTTCCAATCCTCCTCCATCCTCTCTTCTCCCAGGTCACGAATTCTGCCGGTCATTTCAGCCAGTTCCATGTAGTCTATCAGTTGCATCTGCCATTCTTCCAGTGTGGGTAGATCTTGAGTTTTCCAATGTTTTGCGAGAAGTATCCTTGCTGCTGTTGTTGCATACATAAAAAATGTCTGGTCCTTCTTTGCCACCCCTTGGCCGACAATACCCAAAAGGAAAGCCTCTGGTTTCTTAGTGAAGGTATATTTAAATACCTTTTCAATTCATTATAAATCATTTCCCAGAACGCCTTCACTTTAGGGCAAGTCCACCAGAGGTGGAAGAACGTTCCCTCACACTCTTTACATTTCCAACACTTATTATCAGACAGGTGGTAAATTTTTGCAAGTTTGACTGGGGTCATATACCATCTATAAATCATTTTCATTACATTTTCTTTCAAAGCGTTACATGCAGTGAATTTCAATCCATTACTCCACAACCTTACCCAGTCCTCAAACATAATATTATACCCAATGTCCTGTGCCCACCTTATCATAGCCGATTTAACCGTTTCATCTTGTGTATTCCATTCCAACAGCAAGTTATACATCCTTGAAAGTACCTTAATCTTTGGTTCTAACAATTCTGTTTCTAGTTTCGATTTCTCCACCTGGAACCCTAATTTCTTATCATTTTTAAAAACTTCTTTAATCTGAGCGTAGTGTAACCAATCTCGCACTTTGTCTTTCATTTTCTCCAAACTCTGCAATTTCCAATTGTCTCCATCCTTTTCTAGTATTTCCCAATATTTTGGCCATCTAGCCTCCATATTGGGTCTTTTCGGGCCTTAGCTTCCAGAGGTGAAAGCCACCTTGGTGTTTTATTTTCCAGCAAGTCTTTATATTTTATCCAGACATTAAACAATGATTTTCTGACAATATGGTTCTTAAAGGCCTTATTTGCTTTAACCTTGTCATACCATAAATATGCATGCCATCCAAAGGCATTGTTAAACCCTTCCAGATCCAACACATCAGTGTCCTCAAGAAGTAGCCAGTCTTTTAGCCAGCAGAACGCTGCGGCTTCATAATACAACTTTAAGTCTGGCAGGGCAAAGCCCCCTCTTTGTTTTGCATCAGTTAATATCTTAAACTTAATTCTGGGCTTTTTGCCCTGCCAGACAAACTTAGAAATGTCTCTCTGCCACTTCTGAAAGCACTCCGTTTTGTCCAAAACCTGAAGTGTTTGAAATAAAAACAACATCCTTGGCAATACATTCATCTTGATAGCAGCAATTCGGCCTAACAGAGAAAGTTTCAGTTTTGACCAACTATCTAAGTCTCTCTTAATTTCTGACCAGCATTTTTCATAGTTATCCTTAAATAGACTTAGATTTTTTACTGTTATGTTTACCCCTAGGTATTTTACTTTTTTAACCACATTAAGTTCCGTCTCATTCTGAAACCGTTCTGACTCTGTATCTGTCAAATTTTTCCCCAAAACCTTAGTTTTCTGTTTATTTAATTTAAATCCAGCCACCCGACCAAAGTCATTTATCAGTTGTAATACTCTTTTCGTACTGGGCTCTGGCTTCTGCAGGGTCAAAACCAGGTCATCTGCAAAAGCTTTTAATTTATATTGTTTCTGACCGACCTGAATTCCTTCCACCAACCGATCCCCTCTAATCATGTTCAATAGCACTTCCAGAACCGAGATAAATAACAAAGGGGAAATAGGGCAACCTTGTCGTGTCCCTTTTCAATTTTGAACTCTTCTGTAACCACATTATTAACTATCAATTTAGCTTTCTGTTCTGAATATATCGCCTCAATCCCATTCTCAAAACCCCGTCCCACTCCCATCTCTTTTAAATTTCCCTTCATAAATTTCCAGGAGATATTGTCAAAGGCCTTCTCCGCATCTATAAAAATTAAAACTGCTTTTGTATTTATATCTGTTTGCAAAAGTTCCAAAATGTCAATGATGTTCCTTGTATTAGCAAACAGATGTCTACCTGGGAGAAAGCCGGCCTGGTCCTTATGGATTACTTCATTTAGAACTTTTTTAAATCTACTTGCCAAAATGTCTGCAAATATTTTGTAATCCACATTTAAAAGGGAGATGGGACGGTAGTTCTTAAGTTGTGTCTTTTCAGCTTCCGACTTTGGTATTAATGTGATGAACGCTTCCTTCCACGACTCCGGTGCCCTCTTCCCCTCCATAATTTCATTGCTGACCTCCATCAAAGGTTGTATCAAATAGTCTTTTAATGTCTTATAGTACTTGGAGGTCAGCCCATCTGGCCCTGGAGATTTGCCGAGTTGCATGTTCTGGATGGCTTGTTCAATCTCCTGTCGTGTTATTTTAGAATTCAGGATTGTCCTATTTTCTTGTGACAGTTTAGATAGTCCATTTTTTGCCAAAAATTGTTTAATCTCAACTTCGTCTTGCGGCCCTTGAGTGTATAGTTTTTTAAAATATCTCTGGAAACACTTTCTAATATCCACTGGATTCTGAATGTTTTTTCCATCGACTTCTAAATTTGTAACCGTATTTAATCTTTGTCTTCTCTTCAACTGCCAAGCTAGCAATTTTCCACATTTATTCGCCGACTCAAACGTTTTTTGTTTCATTAATTTAACCTTCCATTCAATTTCCTGATTTATCAATTTAGAATATTGTGTCTGATAAAGTTTAATTTCTCTCAGAGTTGGCTGTGACTTCGGATTCACTCTTAATTTCTTCTCTAATTCTTTTATTTTATCCAAGATCTTATCTTTTTTCTCATTTTGTGTTCTTTTCTTTACTGCATTCTGTTGTATCAAGAATCCCCTCATTACAGCTTTACTTGCATCCCAGACGATTCTTTTTTCCACCATAGTATTCATATTTATCTCAAAATAGTCCTTCAAAGCTTTTTGGGCCTTCTTGGTAATTTCCTGATCTCTAAACAAATTGTCATTCATCTTCCATCTAAAGGATCCAGTTGGTAATAGTGTCATATCCATCTTTACTGCATTATGGTCGGAACAGGTCTTTGGGCAGATTTCCACTTTTCTGACCTTAGGTGCCAGGCCTCTAGAAATCCATATTTGGTCGATTCTTGTCCAGGTCAGTTGGGCTTCAGAAAAAAAAGTTCCTTCTCTTCCTAGTGGGTTCTTTGTCCTCCAAATGTCAATCAGGTCCATATTGTCAGTCATTTCAAAAAAGGTTTTAGGTAGTCTGCCGTCTTTTGTAACATTTTGACTTTGTGACTTGTCCATGTTAGTTGATACGACCCCATTCATATCTCCCATCATTATGATGTTGTTGTAATCCAGATAGTCCAGCATTGTCTCCTGCAGCTTCTTGTAAAATTCCGATTTCCCTTCATTAGGTGCATAAATTCCTAATATCAACAGTTTCTCTCCTTGATATTGTATCTCAATAGCCAAAATTCTTCCATGTTCATCTTTGAATAAAAATTTAGGTGACAGGCTCTCTTTTGCATATATCACCACGCCTCTCTTCTTGACTTTGTCCGTCTATCCGTTCCATCTGAATCTGGAGAAGCCAGGAAGGTTTTGGACAGGGGTCTGGAAGCAATCAAAGGCTAGATGTGCGCTAGTCATCCAGTTATATCTGTTCCTGAACTAAGATAGTTGGGCCTTCGTTGTGCATGCACTGGTGAATCTCACCTGAGCTACTCCAAAGTGCTTTATGTGGGTCTTGCCTTGAAGATGACCCAGAGGCTACAACTACTGCAGAAAACAGCTGCTGGATTGGTAAGTGGGGCAGCCCAATGTGACCCTGTGTCACCAATTATTGAGAAATTGCTTAGACTAGCTCATGCTCTGACTCTTCTTGATAGAATCAGGCCTCTTTGGGTTAGTGAAGGTATATATAATTGACTGAGAAATGGCAAGTATTCCTGTTCTGTCTCAACTGGGCATTGTGTTACATATATTGCTCCCTAATCACTGTGTTTAGACTGCTGGCAACTGATCAATTCTTGTTATCTGATACCTTGCATTGATTAGTTGTACTATATCTAGCTGTGAGGTGCCTTGAGTCCCTATCAGCGAAAAGGGTAGGATATAATAATACATAATAATAATACATAATAATAATAATAATTTCTGAAAACACTGCATTGGCTGCTAGTGACCTACCAGCCCCTATTATTATTAAAAAATTGTACACCGCCATATACCTGCAGGTCTCCAAGTCTTAGTACTAGCACACAAAGCCCTACATGGCTTGCAACCCTGGGCGCCTTTGGAAAGAAGAACTAGATTTAAATTTATGCCGATGATAATAATGATGATTAATGATGCAGGGAGGATGTGCAGGGAGGGTGAAGGGGTGGGTGGATAAAGGGAGGGCGGTTGGTCGGATGTGGGGAGAGAGTGGTTGCCAAAAGGGTAGGTGGGGTTGGCAAGTGTAGTGAGCAGGGGCAGTCCCTAGTTTTGAATAAAGTCAGCTAATGAAAGCCCTGTGCTTTCTAACTATGTCCTTCTGAATACAAACCCTTGGAGTGGAAAAGTAGTATTATGTTAACGTACATTGCACGTTCTTACCGTGTTGCTAGTTAGACCAATCCACACAGGCTCCTCATATTTCAACACCTTTAGCCATAGGAATGATTCAATGTAGGGATTCCAAATGCTGGCAAGCTCTGACTGTTCAGAATTGCATTTTTTCCTGGCCTCTTCCCATGTCATTTTGGTGCCAATGAAAAAGTAACTGCTATTCCCAAAATTGAAATAGCCTGAGGCTGGAATTGTTGTTTCAAAGTATGGTAATGCGGGATCTATGGCAAAAACAAACAAAAAGCCAGAAATTGTTTTAGACTGCATATATTCCTAAAATTTGATTTCATTTCATCCTGAAATATCTGAACATTATTATCTCTCAAGATTTAACATCTGAAAGTACTAAGAATTTGCAGAGAAACATTAAAACCAACATGTTAGTCAAACCCTATTCTTTACAGCCACAAAGAAGCATATCAAATTCCTAAGAAGCAGCTAGCAGACCTACTTGAAACACATTCATTTCTTTTCATAGAAATCAAGTGACTATTCTTCAATTAGTTTCCTAGCCACCATCATTCGTGGATGATAAAAATTTCTGTTTCTATTCTGGTAATTTCTGTCCAAAAACAGACCTCGGAGGGTGGCTGTACTCATGGGGGTCTATTCTTCTTATTAAAATGAAAGTGCATTGATCAGGGGGCAGGCTGTCACTTGCAACATGGCTAGATATTATGACACTAAAAAAGAACTAAAAGAATCAATATGGCTAACTTAACCCAACAACACCCCCCTCTCTCACACACAAATCCCACTGCAGCCAACCAAAGACAACCAGCCACACCCTAGGCCACCCTAACCTCTCTCACTACCAACGAAACATAACAAGCGAATAGAAAGAGAACCTACCCAAGTGACGCTGACACAAAACCCCATGTGCATGTGCTTTTGTAAACAATGAAAATATTTAATAAAAATTGTTTTAAAAGAAATAGAACTAAACTTTTTTCCAGCAGCCTCCTTCTGTCCTGTTTTGGGGATGGTATAGTGAAAAGTCAAGTCCCATATCAGGAAGTGTACAACTGAGGTTCTTTGACACCAGGGTTCATCTCTGTATATCTATAAAATATTGTTGTCACGATTGCATTCTTTTCTTTATACAGTCAAATACAAAATCTCTAATACTGGAAATCTAATTTTGTTTTTTGACAAAATGATATGGCACAGAAAACAGGCTTTGGACTCTAGAAAGCAATCTGAATTGCAAAATATTTTTTGTTTTTTCTCTTCTAAAAACGTACCAGAGTTTCTTTGGCAGATGTAGCTTTTCCTGGCAGAACATGGTCCATCTCTCCACTTTCCTCCTGAATTTCCAGTCCTCTTAATAATAAAAACACAGTCTTCCTAAGGAATTAAAACATAAAAATCAAATAAGACAAGTGCCATCAATTTGCGCAGGAGGCAATTCTTTTATCCTAGATCAAGCATAGGCAAACTCAGTCCTCCAGATGTTTTGGGACTACCACTCCCATCACCCCTAGCTATCAGGACCAGTGGTCAGGGATTGTGGGAATTGTAGTTCCAAAACATCTGGAGGGCTGAGCTTGCCTATGCCTGTTGTAGATTGTGCTTAAAAGCCCTCCTTTTGTACTTCTCAAATTCGATGAAAGCAGTACCGTATCCTTTTAGAACCAAGTTTGAATATGAATATTTGTCGCTTCTCACCACTGTCCTACCCAATCCAGCCAAGAAACAGCCTCCACCATTGAATGAAATCTCTAAGGAGGTGCTGGCCCCAGTGTGTCCTGGGATGAAGAGGAATTAGTGGAGCCTGACATATAACCTGAGATTGCCACCACTCAGGGCACCTGTAAAATCAGAGTACCTGCTAAAATCTATCAGGTCGCACAGCCTAGCACCTGACTCCACAATTACCTGTGTGATTCCAAGATCAGATGGTGCAAAGTCCACACCAAAGCCCCAACTAAAGGTGTAGCATTTGTTTGGCAACACAAAACGTCTTGTCTCTGGAACCTACTCAGGAGTAGGCATCAGTAACTGATGCATGCTCTGGATCAAGGGCCACCTGATGTTTACAGGAAGTAGATTAGGTAGCAGAGCCAGCTATAAAACTGTTCACATGATGCCCAACTCTTCCTGGTACAACACTTTCCCCAACTAGCTGCTTGGCTTGAGATGCCTGTTCTTGCTAACTGGCTGCACAGCTCCCTTTGCTGTTTCTGCACTTCTGCCCAGCTTTTCAGTTCCGGTACTGGAAGGCATAGTACATTACCACTAAGTACCCCTCCCCACAATGACATCAGCTGATAAGGTTGTTAGGATATTTCCATTCCACCTTAAAAGGGAGCAGGCTGTGAGTCACAGAGTCTGCGTATTTCCTGTTCACAGGATGTTTATGTTTTCTGTTGCTTTCGTTTTCTCTGTGTGTCGCAGACACTAAAAGCAGGCAGTCATGTTTTTCTGTGTTCTGATCAACGCTGAATAAACTTGTAAATAATGCTCTCCTGAGTGCAACTTTTGGCTGTGCTAATTGCTGATAGAGTGTGCATGAGCTCTGGAATGTGTACA